AAAAATCATAATGATTTTAAAATTCACCAAATTGGGTTGTAACATACCCAAAGCAGAATCAAACTCAAATGTTTTTAAAAAAGGCATCTTACTTGATATTACATCTTCTATTACACTGAATGCATGCTCAACAAACTCAGCATCCACATAATTTTTTCCACTAGGTTCGTCCCTAGCAATTAAATGCAATGGCACCACAGGTGATGGTGGCAAAGCGGCATTATCCATATTTTCTGAACTCAACTGAGAAGTATTCTTCAAATTCGACACTTTATGATTTCCTAAAGATATTGTACCAAACTGAATGTCCACCACGGTACTAAACTTGTGTTGATTGACTCTTTTAGATTCTGCACGACCCTGTAAGATATATAACTGAGACATTTTATTTCCCTCCAATACAACTTGGACGCCCTTACAAGCCTTCAAAACTCCACCTCCACCAAAGAACTCATAACCCTTTGAATCAAGGATAGACAACGAGATAAGATTATTCTTCAAATTCGGAACATGTCGAAACTCGCCAAGTATTCTAATTGTCACATCGAATAGCTTAAATCTGATAGTACAAATTTCAGCAACCCGACAAGGTGTGTTGTCTCTCATAACAACGACACATTTGGAAACAGTTCATATGTAGTAAACAAGTCCTTATTAGGACACATATAAAACACACACGCTGAATCCAGAATCCAATCCTCCTTTGGTTTAGACTCAATGTCAGAAGTAGTTAAGAGATCTCCCTCACTTACAATGTTCTCTGTGAGGTCGCTTCACCTGAAGTCTCTGATTGCTCCCCATATCAATTGCAGCCAACCTTTTTTTATTCTGAAATTTGTAGCAATCCTTCTTCAAGTGTCTCTTCTTCTTGCAGAAGTTACAAATCTAATTACTGAACTTAGATTTCGATATGTCCCTTCCAGAACCACCATGAGCAACAAGGTCTTCTCCATTTCTGATATCTAAAACTAGATACTTCATCTTCTCTTTTGAAAACAAAGCATCATACACCTCATCTATGGTAAGAGTATTACGACTATACAAGATCATGTTTTTAAATGAAGAAAATGAAGCAGGCAACGAACACAATAGGATCAAGGCCAAATCTTCTTCATCATACTTTACTTCCAAAGTTTTCAAATCAGCGACGATCTCTTTAAATACAGTCAGGTGATCTTCTAATGATCCTCCTTCTGCTGATCAATAAGAGTATAAACACTACTTGAGATGCACTTGCTTGTCAGACTTTTAGTCATGCACAAATGCTCCAACTTCAACCATAAAGCAGCTGTTGAACCTTCCTTCAAAACGTCCTAAAGAATAGTATTCGATAGATGAAGATGAATGTGAGAAATTGTCTTCTTATCCTTCCATAATTTATCCTCCGCGGTTAAAGTTGGTAGCATCTTGTCAATTCCCAACAATGCATCATCCAAATCCTGTTGCGCGAGTACTGCACGTATCTAGTGCTCTGATCCAAAAGCCGAATTTCATATTTCATGAAAGCTATCACGAACAAAAAACCTAGAACAAATCAAACCCTAGGGCTCTTGCAGGACTAGGGCTCTTGCAGAACTACTGAACCTAGGCTCTGATACCACTTGTTGTGAAACAAACAAGATACCAGAATTACTTTGATACCAATTGTTGGGTATTCAAGGATCATGTATCGCTCGATACCACTTGATATGAAACCAATCACCAGATTGAGATGTTGAAATTGTATGACACAATAATGAAGTATTTGAAGACATGCAAAAGAATAAAAGAAGACAAGAAAATATGACAGAGGAATTAAGAGATTTTATTTCACGACAAATAATGAAGATGGAAAAATATTACAATGATCCTAAAATGTAGCAATCTATTTTCGCACATTACAAAATTGTATAGAATAATCTAATATTTATAGGGAACGTGTAGGGAATGTCTAAACCCTCGTAGTAGAGCTGTTGATGAAGTAGGATGCCAAAAAATTGAGTTTAAAACGAAAAATGAGAAAAAACGTGAAAAACCCGAAACATACATGTGGCCCCTAGGTGCCACACCCTGGCTCCTAGGCGCCCAAAGGCTAGCGCCTTGTTGTTGTAAAATAGCAACCTGGAGCTTAGGCGCCAGGTCTTGGCCAAAAAACTATCAATACTGTTTTTCTCCATTTCGAATTCTTTTTCAAGTCCAATACCAATTTTAAAAACTATCAATACTGTTTTTCTCCATTTCGAATTCTTCTTCAAGTCCAATACCAATTTACAACTCCTAATAGGCTTCCAAAATAGAACTTCAACTTGACATAGGACTCTAACAGCATTCCAAACTCATTTCTTCTTGACATAACTTCAATTAGAATTCTTCAATTACTTCATCAAGGAATTCGAGTTACACTCAAATTCTAACATTTAGAATGAGACAGTATTAACAATGTGAAGGGTGGCTAACCTCGAACATGTTTAAAAAAAAAGACATAAAAATTAATTGGTCTAAACTGTTGACAGTAAAATCATTTGATGAAGCCAATTATTCCCTCCCTCCATGACAGACATGCAACAAATTATCGTT